CTTACCCTCCTATTGTTCTTTGGTTCTGAAGTTCGCCCACTTCCGGAGTACCTCACTTTGGCTATCCCTCCTCACAATGCAGCAGTAGCTAGCCCACCTAAATGGCTACCGGCAATGCATTGTGGGAAACACAACTCCCCTAAACAAGTAATCTAGCATTAGCTGCCTTGAATCTTCTTTAGAGTCAGAAATTGGACTTTGAAGTGATTGACACTCAGCCGCTTAGTTGCTCTTGTGGGAGCTCCCCAATGCCTACGCGCTGGCAATCTGTTTTCGTTTGCGTTCACAATCATATCAAGGTGAGTGGTGCCAACCTCTGCTTCTCCAATTTGATCCTCAACGCAGCCGATCGATAGGTATGTCTCATGGCCACCTGTCTGTCACCTCTTAACCATGCTAAGAAGAACTATTGATTGATATCGGCTGGTGATATAATGCCCAGCCTTAATCGTGGATGAAAAAACGATGATGACATCATCGACTCCTCAATCACACTAATGTCAACTTAAAAAAAATCTCCTTAAAAAGTTGTGCAAGGCATGCTGTACACGCAACTCCTGTCAAAGTGAAAGCAGAAAAGGTGGCTTTGTTTTTTTTACACAGATAAAAGAAAAAAAGAGAACATTGCGTATTGCTTAGCATATTGAAGCAACTAGCCAGAAATCGATCACAGATTCAGATCCGTACAACATGTGACTATGAGGTGTGCGAGAAAAGTTGCAGGTCTGGTGTCACAAGTAATATAACCCAATCGGAGTTGTCCCCCTCAGTGTGGGCCAGATGATCAACCACCAGGTCTACAAATTCTGCAATTCTACGGCGCCTGACGAAAGAGTTGCGGCAGGACAACTCGCGCTTGCACATTAATTCCTTAAATCTGAGAGTTTCTGGCCAAGAAGAACATCACCGTGCCGGATTAATTCCTTGAATCTGAGAGTTTCTGGCCAAGAAGAACATCACCGTGCCGGTTCAGAGAGATTTTTTTTAGACATGGACGATATCACGATGGCTGTGACGACAGAGTTGCAGAAGATCCTGGAAGAATCCTTCCAGGAGAAGTGAGGATGTGGCAGAAAAGACTGGAAAGGAGCATTCGACCCCATGTGGATTATTCTGAAGAAAAAATTTGAAGTGTGATTTTGAGACAAAGGTCCTACAACTTTTCTGACACACCTTATACATTATTTGTGCCAGTTTAAAACAATTGGTGGGCAGCAATATTGCTTGCAACCCCACAGTTTTTGAACAAGCGAGTGCAGAGAGTGAAACACTGTTTGATCGCCTTTCCATTTTATTTATGATATTATTTATTTACTTGTTATTTATTATTTTTCTGGACTTTTCCATCTACTGATATTACTTTAGGCAGAATACTGTATTTATGCAGCAACTAATTTCCCTTATTATTTTTCTGCATTGTTAATACAAGATAGCGAGACCGAAAAAAAAAGGTGCAATAGACCTGGATTAAAGAGCCTGTTTAAAATCGTCTTTTAAGTTAGCCAAGACATATAATAACCCATGTTGTGCTTTCAACTTGATGATCTTGACTCTTGTCGGTCAAGTCTGCAAAGATTGCTTTTATTACACATGCAATTTTTGTTCACATGATCTCAATTGGGCGGCCCGATGGTCCAGTGATTAGCACGTCGACCTCACAGTGCAGAGCTACCGGGTTCAATTCCAGCTCCAGCCTCCCTGTGTGGAGTTTGCCTGTTCTCCATGGCCATGCGTGGGTTTTCTCCGGGTACTCCGGTTTCCTCCCACATTCCAAAAAGGTGCATGGCGGGGTGATTGAACACTCAAAATTGTCCCTAGGTTTGAGTGTGAGCGTGGATGGTTGTTCATCTCTGTGTGCCCTGTGATTGGCTGGTGACCGGTTCAGAGTGTCCCCCGCCTACTGCCCGAAGACAGCTGGGATAGGCTCCAGCACCCACCGTGACCCTTGTGAGGATAAGCAGGATGGAAAATGGATGGATGGATGGATTATCTCAATTTTGGCAATGAGTTCTCCACGTCATTGTCCAATAAATAAATATTTAAATGAATACCTGATTTTCATGACTCAATTCTCAATGCTCGTTGACCATGACTTACATTCGTATGGAGTTATTTGAGATTTTTCTTTCACTCACGGAAGGGTACATACAATTTTAGGTATGATACAAATGATACAATAACTGACTGTGCCCTGGATAGTGAGCTATTTGTATCATCTTTGCTGGACTCACTTTTTTTTCCACGCTCCAGCTGCTTGCATGGCTAGGCCCAGGCTCTGCCATCCATGCTAATGGACGCACAATTAGACATTGGCCAAGCAGCATATAGGGGGATTGGATTAAATCGTTTGCATTCGAAGGGCCCTCTCAAACAGGCAAATTTCAGAAAAACAAACAAACAAACAAAAATAGGGTGTGGCAATTTTAGACTCTAATTATTGTTGTTAAAATAAAAATTTGGATGAAAGATCGAAACAACTTGGGAACTGTTGTATTTGTATTCATGCATACGATGCCCCTTTAACCCTTTCATCCACCCTGTACACCGTAGTAACCGCTGTCCATGAAAGGGTTAACCGTGGTTAACTTTCTTCCACAGTTGTCAGGAATATTAAAATGTTTTGGATTACTTGAAAACGGGTTCTTGCGTTGTATTCATGACCAAGTTGAGCATTTCCATCGCAAAACGAAGCACTTTAGTGCAGTGCATCACCAATCTTTGTAGTGGGTGACCTGCGCAACTGTACCAGTTCAAGTTTCATTCCATCCATAATGCGTAAAGTGTCAAAATGGCACGCTCAAAGGAAAAAAAAGTGATGGTCATTGTATGGACAAAACTTCCAGACACATACTGCACAATTACATGTACTGTCTTAATTCAAAAGGGAATACTGTGGCACCTCTACTTACAAACGACTCTTCAGACGAAATTTTCAAGTTACGAAACACCTCAACAGGAAAATATTGCGTCTTGTTATCAAAAGTGATGGTCATTGTATTGACAAAACTTCCAGAAACATACTGTACAATTACATGTACTGTCTAAGTCAAAAGGGAATACTGTGGCACCTCTACTTACGAACGTCTCTTGAGACGAAATTTTCAAGTTACGAAATGCCTCAATCGGAAAACATTGCCTCTTGTTATGAAAGAAATTTCAAGAAACAAAAGGTAAAAATACAGTATGGGCTGTCACTCGCAGCTCCGAATTTCCTGAACACAACATACTTTTAGCTGCTCTGTCATTGGCTATTACCGAGCATCATCCTGGCATCCCATTGGCTAAGAGTGACCTCTACCGAATGTGTCTATGTGTGTAGAATCTACACAGTATATTTACACTATTGAGATAGATAAATAGATATGTGTCCATGCAGCGTCCTCTTCATTCATAGTTTTACGTCGATGTGAATCACCCAGAAAAAGTGTTCACCAGTCTTGTGATGCTGATGTTTGCCTTGGACTTTTTCGAAGGCTTGTTAAAGCCGATAAAAGCAACAGTCCTTGGATCAGTTCTTTACAAAACACCAGGCAAAAAAAAAAAAAAAACACTTCTGAGAGACAACATGAACTAAAGAGGGCAAAAAACAATGAGGGCGCAGTTAAAAATTAAATGACCATCATTTTGATTTTTTAATGTTTGTTTTTTAGATGATGCACAACTCTCATTTATTGTGCAATACTCTAATTGTAACATGTATTTGTTACATATTTTGATGCATTCGTATGCTTTAGGAAACATTTTTGTCTGAATTTTGGGAGGGGTTGGAACGAATTAGGGTATTTACATGGAAAACGCGTCTCTACTTCCAAAATTTTCTAGCTAGGAAATTTCTTCCAGAGCCAATTAATTTCCTAAGTGGAGCTACCACTGTACTTTGAATTTATCCACTTAAGCCTTTACAATTAAAAAATGGTGTGTCTACAAAAGGAAACTTTAAAAAAAAAAAAACATTCAAAAATGTTTTTCAGAGACCTTAATTGGGCAGTTGCTCATCTGCAAGGAATTTGAAACTGGAACTGGAGGGTTGGAGTTGCCTCATCACTCATTCAGTGATGTGATGCGAATATAAACGCAAGAGTGTCAGCGGAATTAACAATGAAGGGTTTGTACGAATGAAAATTTGTACCAAACACAATGATAAGACCAAAAGAAAAATGTTCAGTTGCCCACACTGAACGAAACATTGAACATTAAAATCTTGATGGCATTTGTCATATTCCTGACTTTATTTTCTCTCAAAAGGAATGAGACTGTCAGAACCCAAAACAGTATAGCCGCGATACAGAAGGGCACCTTATTTTCTTGAAACACTGCAAGTAGATAAATATTCATGCAACTTTAGAAACATCTCTGGTTAGATCTCTAAGGCTAACAATACAACTTTGAATTCTTACGAAATATCAAGATTATTCTCCACATTCTTTTTCTCAGCGTCACAGTTGATGGACTTTGTTATGATATATGCTGATCATCGCGTTCAGTCTGTACAATAGAGGTACTAAAAATGACCACCGTCATCTGGTATATGTACAATTTACTACCTACAAAGTACAACAGCTAGCATGTAATAAAATATGTAAACAAATTTGTTGTTGTTTTTTTTTTTTGACACAGTTGACTGTGACGATTGATTAGAATTCACACTTTGACCATTGAATTTATTTCTGTATACACGTGTTAACAATGTTATAGTACTGCATTTGTGTTTCTCCTCACACCTCCATAGAAAAAGAGAACAATAGGCAAGGAAACTAACATACAGTTTTGCAAAAAAAAAAAAAGAAAAAAAAAGATCAGAACACCAGTGGCTGTGCGGGGAATAGCAGAGCTATTTTTTTTCCAGAGCTCAGGTTTTTGGGATGTCCAAATGTGGGCGGGGTTTAGTTCAGTCAAATTCAAAGTCATTTTGCATCAAATAGGATATTGTCCAAGTTGAAGACTGTAGACTTTACGGTTATACTGCAAGTTAGAATCACATGCATTTTACAATCATTTGCTTTTTTTTTTCTTTTCCCAAGAGAATCCCCACAACTTTAAACAAAGTGTGTCAGACAATCAGAATAATTGTACTAAATACGATTTCAACGAGAACAGATTCACTGAGTGCTGTCCATTTGCTCACTTGATTTCATTTTATACACAGAAATAGCTGTTTTCTTGTTGTTTTTAACCTCCATTTTTCTTTTGCTCAAAGCAAAAATAAATAAGACGTCACACTATTATTTAGAAACCATACAAATTTCTCATATTCTGATACAACAAGAGTCCCTTTTTTTGTGTGTTTGTTTTGTTGTTGAAACCTTGAACAACGATCGTACGCTTTGACCCCTTCTTGTTAAGCACTACAAGTTGCTTACATGCGATAATGGTCAAGCCTATGAGTCTTTTTGTAACATACAAAATAGGTTGTTGTTGGTTTTTTTTGTGTTTGTTTTTTTTTTTGTCTCGTCACAGATCACGTTGCTCTAAAAGTCACTTAGGAGAATGATGTAGCTGGGAAATAGTTCTATACTGATAATGTCTCTGACCAGATAGAATAGTAAGGTCTCTAAAGTCGCTATTAAGCCTCCTCTGTATGCTTACAGAAGTAAGTGTGCTTTATATTACAGTACATGTCATCAGTTCAGCTACTCGGCAGAGTAAAGCATCATTCAAGTTCCATTGTAATACCATCATTTGTCATTTCTTCTCACCCAAACCCCTCCCCCCCAAAAAACAAACAACAAAAAAAAGTCATACGTACTTGAAGTGCTGTCTTTTCCTTTTTGGCTCTCTTACTGACTGCGAGTCTCAGTCACACGTAATACTCCTTATCCTTATTCTTCTGCTTTTTATGGCTGCCTTTCGAGCTCTGCTGCTTGTCCTTGATGACAGTACCATTGCTCTGCGCTGAGTTGGTGATATAGTTCCTGCTCTCATCCACCTGGTAGGAGCCTTCATCCCTGTTCCTGTACTTATACATGGCATAAAGAAGGATGAGGATGCACAGGGCAGCGGCCGCCACTATTCCGATGACCATCCCGGTGGTGCTGCTTGATTCCCGGACTACTTCTGAAGGCCCCGGCCTGACGCCTGGTTCTGTGGGAAGTGCTGTGGGTATATTACGGAACACGGGGGAGGTTAATCATGGGCCCCTTAGCTGGGTGCCGTCTACCTCATAGGATGTGGGCAATGGAAGCAACTCTAGGTCTGGCAGAGAGGTTTTAGCTATTCATTTTGCCAGTCGGATCATGTTTGGCGGGTGCATTGTGAAGGGTGGCGGTAAAGGCAGAGGTGGCGGTGGTGCGGCTCTGGCGGTTTGTGGTATGGCGGTAGTGATAGTCCTACTGCGTCTGGAGACTGAAGCTTTGTTATGTCTAACAGTCCTGGGCGAGTGAGCTTTGTAGCCACCGTGTAGCCCGACGTGGACAAAGGAGAAGGGCGTGTAAAATAATCTTCATCAGCGGTCGAGGGCTGCTTAGACTTGAACTCTTCCCCTGAGCCATACCGCGATATTGCCAAGCCATCATCATCACAATCATCGCTGCCTCGGTCCAACAAGCACGGTGCCCCCGCCTCAGTAGCCTTGGACAGGGACTCTTTGGTGGTCTCAGTAATGGAGAGGAGTGAGCGGTGGGTTGAGGGAGTGGCAATGAAGGGTGCATGAGGATCGACAAATGGATGTACTACTGGATCCTCAAGTACTGGGATGACTAACTCAGCTCCTGGGTTTGGACACAGACATACAGAACGTCAGGTGACGATATAGTTTCCTTGCAACAACAAATTATTACCACTCCGCCAAAAAAAATGGATGCAAAGACTGCCAAATGAAAATAGAATCAAGCCACGCATTTTCAGAACGCATACCACGGACAATTTGAAATCTCAAAAGGCTTAAGAGGTGTGTAAGGATGAGCCGCAGAAGCCAAATATACGTCTAAGATGAACAAGATGCTATCCAAAGAGCACTCCAAGAATACCACAGCTTTCACTTCGCTATTATTTTTCTCCTGGAGTTCATCAAGAAGGACATTTTCAAATTATACTTGACGAGACTTCCTGTAGACATGATAGCAGATTCGTCAATCAATGGCTCTCCAAATCCCTTAAACCTCTTTCTTGGTTGCTCGAATATTTCTGTGATACAGAGCTGAATGCTGTCACAGTGTTTAAAAGGTCAAAGGTTAAGCGGTCAGAACAAATAAGTGAATGCGGAAGGAACAGTAATAAAAGAGAGTGTATTTTTCAACCTCATCCATCATGATGGGATTACTTTTGATACTCTCATTTCAGTTTCGCCGAGCTGTGCCATGTATTTGTCATCATTCAAATGTGACAGCAGCTCTATAACAAAGAAAAATGTCGATACCATGTCAGTGGCAGAACGAACTCATCTGAATACTCACCCTTTGAATGATCTACTTTAGTCCAAATTGGTGAGCGCTTTCTCATGAGAATAGCAAAGGGACAACATTTTGTAGTGGATTATTTCACATGCCATAATGCCCTAGCAGGGGTCGGCAACCCAAAATGTTGAAAGAGCCAAATAGGACCAAAAAAATGAAAAACAAATATGTCTGGAGCCGCAAAAAATTAAAAGCCTTATAATGAAGGCAACACATGCTGTATGTATCTATACTCGCTCTATTAGCCTACTATCAAAATGACTACATTGGCTACAAATACATAATGAGCTTTCATGATTAAAACTTGTTTTTTTCCCTGCAGTGCATCTGGAGAGCAGGGGTGCCCAACCTTTTTTCGACCAATCAACCTCCTGCGATCGACCCGTGACACACCCATGCATACGCACGCACTTAGACACGCATGCCATAAGGAGCAACAACCATCACGGCCGCTAAGATGAAGGAGGCGTGGGACACACTTTTGCTGCGTGTTAACTATCGTAGCTCACGTGTACCGTTGAAAACACTTCTCTCAGCCCTCCGGATTCCCATTCTTTGCCAGTACCCTCGGTGAATTGTACATAAAACACCATTTTTTTTTTTTTTTTAACAACAGTCACTTGCCTGGCATCCCGCCCTGCTAATAGAAACGTGTGTCGCAAATCTTCGTTGACAGAAATGCTGAAATGTAATATTTTACACATTTTTACAGCATTGGAAAATGTTAAGATCAAAAATGTTTGTATCATGTTTGTCCTCCTACAGAAACCAGATTAAAACAAAAAATATAATTCCCTCCCCCATCTTTTTCCTTTTTCAAATATTTTTGAAAAAGCTCCAGAGGAGCCACTTGGACGGCGCTAAGGAGCCGCATGCGGCTCCAGAGCCGCAGGTTGCCGACCCCCCGCCCTAGCTGGAAAGTCCTTCTAATTGAGCTCTTTTTTGAGGGTCACTCTAGCTTTCATCTTTTAACATCTTATCAAAATAATTTAGTATAAAAGATGCATTATGTTATATCAGAAATGGTTTATTTGAGTCACAACCACATTCTACCCCGTTGAACTCATTCATAAAGTCACATTTTTGAATTACCGGTAATTTTTACCTAGTAATGGCCTGGACAAGAAAACACCTGAATATCTGATGTTGGTGGATTGATATTTTACCATGAGAGAATATGATATGATATTGTATATCAAAATACCGGTATCATCCCATCTCTACTCTGAACTGGAAGAGGAAAGAAAACACTGAACTAAACAACTTGCAATTGTTTTAAAGCCGAAAATGAATGGAGCGAGCATTCAAACTGCCATTGACATTCAGCGTATCCACCGCTGCGCACACTCAATATTTAGATGCAAATCACACCAAACATCACCATATACATTCACAAGCACACAGCTCTATCAGAAAAATCAATGACACTTTATTATACTTGAAATCATAAAAAAACAAACAAAAAAAAAAAAACACTGTTCAAGAATTCTTTTTGACAAGTTTCCATAAATTGGTCAGCGATGCAGTTTCTAAACTTTTCAAGTGCAGACAAGTGATGTGTTGAACAACAATTTTGTCACAAACAACCAGTAGGGCCGCAACAATTAACAATTAGTTTTTAAAGGTATATTTTCTAAAGTTCCTATTTCATACAAAGGCCTTCGGTTCTAAACCCGATCCATCACCTTACTGTATGGAACTGAGAAGCAAAGAGACGAATGGTTCGGCAAGGTTACAAACTGCATTACTGAAAGGCAATTTCAGAGAATTCAACATCCATAATTGGGTCCACTTACATCAACATATTGCCCGCATGAATTTGGCAGGAAGAAAAGAATTTACAAAAGAGAAGTGTATAATAATAATGGATATCAACTTTGTACCATTAAAAATACTGTATTATTTTCCATTGGAGAGTGTGTTCTATATTAAACATGACAGTACAGGGAGGCAACAACACACACATCCACACCACAAAACATAAAAATAAACACCATATAGATATAGAGATATATATCTTTTTTTTTAATATCTAATGACTCTGTAAATAATTTGCTTTGTTCTCATTTGTTTTTACAAACCGTTTATCTACAATTTTCCATTGCAATAGACTTCGATAGTAGCTAAAATCTATTCATGTTGGAGTGAAATTGAAACTCTTCAATTCTCGTTTCGTTGTATCGAGTGGAATGAAAGAATTCACTTGATATTTGACTGAACTCTACCAACAAGGGAGCAGGTGAAGAAGGGGGTGGGACCTATGAACAGACTACATAGGAAATGAGGCTGATGAGGGTGACAGTGTAAGTCAGTTGCCATGTCCATGTAAAGGCAGAACGAGGCGGTCGGGCGGCAATAGAGCTTTTGGCTGTAAGGAAGGGATGGGGATATACAAACAATGAGCATATACATGCCCATCTACATAAAAGAACAGAAGAAACTCTAACACTGACAGGTTTGACAAACCCTAAACTGCAACTTTTTAGCCATGCAATACATTTTGTCTGACAATCCAAGTATTATTCAAGAGGCATTCCTTTTCTCAAGGTTTGTTTTCAAAGATTAAAAAGGAGAGGAAAATGGAATTAGGATCTGGAACGGCTCCATCTACTAATTATATGGGATTGGGAAAAACTGATTGAGGTTTTATTTATTTAGTTATTTAATTTGCAGATGTGTGTTGTCGGCCTCGTCCTTGATGCGACCTCCATGGTGATAAATGCAGCCTGTTCCTTGTGTGTGTGTGCGTGTTGGTGTGTTGTAAAGCTACTGGTGGCAAACAGAAGAGTGTTGCTCGCCTCTCTTACTCCTGAGATTCTGGGAGATGTTTTGGGGTTCGTGAGGGGCTTCGTGTCATGAATGGTCTGTGCTTTCTTTCGCCACATTTAGCTATCTTATGTTCTTGTTACTCGATGGACAACTAAAAGACAATGAATTGTATTTTTGGATTTCTTCTCCCCGTGCTGGTATAAAACATGCCTTTGTTTATTTTACTGCATAATATTTTAATTTGATGACATAAAATGTGATGAAAAAACCACAGTCAAATACAGTCTGAAACAGAGATTATTTCCCTTGGGAAATAATGCACATGAAAATGGAAATTAGAAATAATGGTAAAACATTCATGAGTACACACGTTTAGCCATGTGTTATTTTAATGCTCTTCACAAGTGTAAAAAAAAAAAAGCACTGTTGGAGACGTAGGGCCCTATATTCGTGCACAGTGCAAGTCCAGTGTAAAGTGCAGTCGACCATTTGCGCATGGGTAGAGTTCTATCTTTTGGTATTTCATAGCCGGGCACAGCTAGGAATGGGGGTTTGCGCCATTGTGGGAGTGAACATAGCTGACTTGATTCCCACTCATTCCCATGAAAATAAAGATACATTTATAATCAACTGCAAAAAGATCTTCACTTGTGGATGATGTAAAGTTTGGCTGTTGCGAAGCGGCCACTTGGAGACTGCATTTCAGCCCAATCGCGTGACTGTTTGACTTCGAAGTCCGAATTGCATGTTGCTATTCATGAACTGTCACCTTTCAGAATAGAAATAAACAGTACCACAAATAAATCATTCCCACCATGCTCTGTCCCGCACTTCAGTGTGATGTAGTCGAGTCATCCAATTACTGGAGTCTGATCATTCCTTTACCGTTATTAATTCAAGCTGGCACTTGCACAATTGAAATAAACAGGATGG